ACACACACACACACACACACACACACAGTGAGAAGCCACTTCACCCACGAAACAAGGTTTGGGAAACAACTTTCCCAATTAAAATAAAAAGGAATATTTTTCCACTAAAAAGTCAAGAGTGATCACCCCTCACTGTCCCACATATAGACGGATTGATCCAAGAAAGCATGTGCGATTCAACATGCTTCATTTGGAAAATGCATATCATTTTTTAAAGAAAGTTTTGAGCAATAACGCTTACTTCTGCAGAAAGCTTTAGGGACAATACACCTGCCTTTTACCGACCAGCCCCAACGCTAAGTGCTATTGCATTCACTCATCTTCAGGACTATGTTTTTTGCCTCCTGGGGAGATGAATGGTGATGCCAGCATTAAATGTTCAGGCTGGAGGATCAGCCCAAGGAGACCCCTCTTCTGGGTCTTTAAAGTGTTACCCATCTTGATGAGCAGTGCTAATGGCTCAGCTAGACTTGTAGTCAGTCCTTCGAGGGGTCGGGGGACAGGGGAGTAGACAGGAATTACAGAGCTCAGGGGTGACGACACACTTTGGCCACTTGAAAACACTGTGCATGCAGGTGAAATCCTAAATCCAGTTTCCCACCCCTATGGTAACCATCTAATCTACATCACTCAAGTAGGCGATACCATAGGCAATGCATTTCAGGAGGTAATTGTTGCCTTTCTCCTCTGCGGAGACTCAGAAGGCACATGATTGCAGAGGGATGATTGCAGGGAAATAACCCCAACACTGGTAAGCACACAACCTTGTTACTAGAAGACAAAAAAAAATAGGAATAGCTAGCTGCAAAGCAGGCTGAAGGTTTTTAAAAAAAAGAAATAAAAAGAACGGAAGAGGTTGATAAGGGTTCGTAGGAAATGTAGGTAGTGGACGCCCTTGATAACCAATCAAAAGCTTTGTTTGCACCCTGTGTTTCAAAGGCCTAATTAAATAATGGATTTCTTTGAAATTGTCAACCTGGTTGTGAAAAAAATAGCTGGGAAGATGGAAAAATAATCAGATTTAAGCGTTAATGGTTAACCCAGAACTAATGGCTGCAGCTTTATGCTTCTGTGATAAAGCACAGAAACAGAGGTTATTTATATTCAAGGCAGCTTAATGTAAAAGGGCATTAATCTCTCAGCAAGCAGCAGATGGCAACAGATAGAGTGTTTGCATTGCAGCGGCGACGGGTTTATTTCTAGACACCAGTATAACAGGGGTTGGAGTCAATAAGAATAGCACCTGCTTCCCTCTCCTCCGCGGCAGCCTTTCCTGACCGAGGAGCAGCGCACGCCAGCGTGCCCATGTCTCTCATGCTGGAGATTTGGGGGCAGATTTTTCAAGGGCATTCAGCTCCCATTTGGCTGCTCGGCAAAGTGCGCAGAGTTTTCCCGAGCACTCAGCAGCTTCTAAGAACAAAGGTAAAACCGGCCCGTCGCAAACAATGGATGCCATGAGTTTTGGCAAGTCTGGCCCTTCAGAAAGAAGCTTCCTCTTCAGCTTTCACTTTGCATTTTTGGCTTGCTTGGATCAGCACTCACCAGATCCTGCCAGGTGAAATCCAGCTCTTTACAAGGCGGAAATACTTCAAGTTGATGGGGTCCCTGTCCCTAAATGTGTCTCCCTGCAGAGCCCAGCCCATCAAGCTGGGCAAGATACCTGCTTAATACAAAGAGCAACTAAGATTTAAAATCCATTTCTGCAAATAATCCTATACGTCCACAGGGTTGCACCCCCACAGGGTCCAAAAGCCACTGGCTGGAATAACATTATTATTATTATGCTGCTGCTGTCTGTGGGCAGGACAGAGAAGCCAACTAGCTGGTCCAGAGGTGACTCAAGGACACATGGCGCAGCATACTGCGCTCTTGAGTAGGGCGGGCAAAAATTAAAAAAACTCCACCCAAACAAACAATCATGCACAAACGCAAATGTTGGCCCTTCTTCTTCTGGCAAGGACGAAGGAAGCAAGAATTCACACCTTCTCCCAGCCTGTCTGAACTTGCCCTAATCTACCCGAGCGAGACGGCTGGGAAAACACTGCCTTCACTGAAGGACCCGCTGGATAAAGGAGCTCTTCAATCAGTGTCCCAGGCTCCTCTTCTTGCTTGGTTACCAGCCACAAGGAGAAAAATATCAAGTTGTCCATCGTTCTGCGGACACTCAGCCTGGAGGACCCCTCCCCACACAGCTGAGTCCTCCCTACCTGGTCCCGAGCTGCGTGAGGAAGGCAGCTCCTCGCCTTGCCAGCCTGTGTTTATTTTAGTTTCATCCTGCCTTAGGCTGCAGGCAACACACACAAGCCAGCCTTGTGCGACTCCTGAGAAGGAAATACGCTCAACTCGTGCTCTGCCAGACAGCGCGTTGAGAGCTGAGTATTTCAGCTCCTCCATACAACTCCCCCTGGCAGCCCCAGGGTCTCTGCTGCCGATTCTGTCTTTGCTAATTATCTCCCTGAATCTAGATACCCCAAAACAAGTTCTGATGATAGCATTCATCTTTAAAGAGTCTGTTTCCGTTCCTTCAGATACCCTATACTGCATGGCAGGGGTCCCTATACACAACCCCGTGGAAGGATCTAACCTACTAGAAAGGCATCATAATGCTGAATGAAATGCACTGCAAACCTTGCACCTCACAGCAGGATAACGACCTCTCTCACCTCCTGTAAAGCTATGAGCAGTGCAAAGTGAAGGCAGAGACCATGCACACACATGTGTGGCATTAAAAAGGTAGGACCACTCATTTGAATGACTGTGCAGACCTTAATATAAGTCTCTCTCTCTTTACATATTGGATCTTCAAATATTGGTCCATTATAAAAAAAAAAGCCAAAAAACCCACAGCAAATGTGTGCAAAGTGTGGTTTAAAAAGCCAGCACCCAGATATAAAGGCCTGTCAATCTGCGGGTTTGCTTTCAAACCAAGGGACGTGGCAGTGTCTCTGCACTTGGATTCCTTCAAGATGGAGTGTATAGAAAATATGTACAAATTCAGCCATGAGTTATTGGGCTTCATGTGTGAACCCACAGATGAAATCTGAGACATGTCTCATAGAAAATGACCAGTCCGTTCCAGACTTCTGCTACTATACCTGTTTCTTGGAGAGGGGAAACTGAGATATCTTCAAATAGTGGATATCCCAGATGCCCCAAAGCTTGGGTCTAGACCAAATACACAGCTTTGGCTTGGCCCATTATAAAAAAACCCCAAAACCCAGCAAATGTTTGCAAAGTGTGGTTTCACAAGGCAGCACCCAGTTACAAAAGCATGTCAATCTGGGGGCTTGCTTTCAAATCAAGGGACATGGCACTTAAATTCTTTCAAGATGGAGCATGTAGAAAATATGCACAAATTCAGCCATGGGGTTACTGGGCTTCATGGGTGAATTCACAGATGAAATGTGAGACATGTCTCATGGAGATGACCACCCCCTTCCAAACTTCTGCTACTATGCCCATTTCTGAGACGGGGAAAACTGAGACATGGCTGCACCCAAGGGCAAGATGTTTCCATCAGATCCAGGATCAAACCTTTGGGAAGGGCTCTCTCACACTGGCATGCCTATGACTTGGTCAAACCTCTCTTAAGAGTAATGTATGTCCAGGGTTTCTACAGAAACAAAACGGAGCTATTACAAGAGAGGGAGAGAGACCCAAAAATAGGAGGAGACTTAAGTCGAGACTCATCAGAGCCAGGTACCACGCTAATCTGTACTCAGAACTGCTTCCAGAAAAGGCCTGTAAAAGGACACTGAGGATGCGTCTACATGTGCACAGTTACTGTGCAGTAATTTAGGTGACTGCACAGTACCTGTGGTGACTTACACCAAGTTGGGTGTAAATTTGCTACCTGCAACATACAGGTAGCAAATTTACACCCACTTAGTTACTGTGCAGTAAAGCACACACAGATGCCCTACTGCGCAGTAACACTGTGTGCGTGAGCTCTGACTTGGGAGTAACTTTACTCCCAAGTTGAAGTGAAGACAGCGCTACTGCGCTGTAACACCTACACATATAGATGCCGGTTTAAAAACCCCATACTGCGCAGTAACTTACTGTGCAGTAAATGCACGTGTAGACACGCCCAGAATGTTTTAAATTCCCAAAGGAGGCATTTCTGGGAGTTTATTTTGACTCATGGTATGTCAGGGTCACCTTACTCCGTGGAGCTAGGGGGTCTGCAACCTGCCCCACCTCTCTGACCAACCTTCATGGGAGCTGAGAAGCTAGGGGCTGGGGCAGTGAAAATCCATTTAACTGCATTGCTTTTTTGCTGTTGTTATTTCTTCCATTTTCTGGTTTTGCAGGGCACAAACACAGTGGTGGGATCGGGCTCTGGGAATGCCGAAGCTACAGTATTTTAGCAGCTACTGGGGTGTTCGCTGTAGGCAAGAGCCTGCTGAGAGGACGGTATTGCCCTCTCCAAAGTGACACACCTGGAAGGACTACATCGCTCAAGCACAGCCATAGCCTGTTTTCTGTAGCAATCACAGGGCAGGGGCCAAACCTAAATAGCTGGGAAAATTAATAGGAGACCAGTCCCATCAATAACTCCACTGATTTCTGGGGAGCTGCCTGTGGGTTTGCAGAAGGGAAGCCAAAAATGTAAGCCAGGGATTGTGGAAAAAGGGACAGACACTTAGAAGAGTCAAGTAAAAAGGTAGCTAAAGGATTTCACCAACCGTGATGGATGATGTAATGGTCCATTAGCTTCTGCATTAGGCGGATTCCCGTCTCGCGGTCTGGTGCTTCTTTGTGGTCAATCAGCCAGTCTGTGAGCTCCTTCGCTACAAAGCAGTTGGGATACGTTCGAAGGTGGTACCGCCGGTCCTTAATGAGTTTTCCATCATGCAGGCGAAGCCTAGAGACAGAAAGCTGCTGAACATAACTGCAGCCCCTGGGACAGCTCAGAGGAGCAGCTCCATGCAGGGCAACCCTGGACGTACCCTCCGAGGCTGGGTACTCATCCGTGCTTCGAGCAATTACCAGACAATCTGGATGCTTAATTAAGCCTCTCTGATTAAGACTAAAATTTGACATGAACTGGCAGGCCCAATCCTGCGAAGTTTCTGGTAACTTCTGCTGAAACTCAGAAAACCCCGGACATGGTTTGAACTGGTTCTTCGCCTGCGCAAACCACCCGATGCATTTCTTAAAGTGTACAGTAAACACGCACGTTCACGGGTGACAACATTGCCAGGTGCTACGTTTTGCTGCCTTAACAGACAAACCAGTTATTCCAGGGGTCACAGAGCATACACATTTCTAAATTTAGAGTTTGGTAGCAGTTTGGGCAGAATTAATAGACCCAGAAAAACCTACAGGTGTTAGTGGCCTCCAGGGACAGGTGTGTTAATGTTACAGGGTTAAATGATTAGGTTCAGAGTTTGGAAAGCAAGGCGCTCTGCCCGCATACCACAGCCCGCAAACAACCAGTGAAAATCTTTTTAACCTTTTGTTAAAGAGACGCTAGGAGGAGGAAGCAGCCCCAGCGTTGGAAATGTAAAGTATTGGTGTCGTTTTACATTTTAAGCAACATCCCTTCCCTCACCCCATTAGCTGCGGAGAGTTTTTGCAAGGAAGCCCCTTGTTTGATGGTCTTCCAGAGGGTCGTAACTGGCCTTTTTTGGGGAAAAAAAAGTTTGTTCAGATAATCTGCGACAGTTGTTGTCAGGGTCTGGTCCCACTTCCTTGAAGATACAACTAGACAAACCCATGGAAGGGGAGAGAGAAGAACAGCAAAGAGAGAAAAATGTACACTTTCCATTTTTGATACCAACTGTTCCCTGCAAATTTGCTGCTGAAGAAAGGCACAGACACAGGCTGCTCAGGTCTGAGACCTGGCCAAATCCTACCAGCACCAGCTGCTTAAGGCAATGCTTTTGAAGACATGCTTTCTTGGTCACGGGCTTGTGGCAGTGTTGCCCAGCAAAGCCAGATGTCTTTTAAACAAAAGAAGAGAGAGAAAAAGATGCCAGATTGGAGACAGGAAGAGGCAAGAGGAAGGTGACATCAAGAAGCCAAGTGTTGTTCAGGACTTAGCTAAAACTGGTGGAGGTGACCGTCTGGGTTGTCGCTAGCTCTGTCTGGCCAGCTCACCTTCAAAGCTCAGGGCAATAAAAGCCCAACGGTGTCACGGAGGATCTTGGGGTCACAGCTGACTACAGCAGAGAAGCCAAGAAAGTAAAGCTCACTTTTCTGTCCGCTTTATATTCCTCATTTCGGCAGTACAATTAAGGATCCCAAAAAGGGGCTATGGACAAAAAAAACCCATCCTCATGATTTTGTTCATCAGTGACTTCCAGCACATTGATCTGGGTTTATTGATTTCTGTTCCAGTTCCCTCATTCATCAGACCTGAGCTCAGTCCAGGTTGCATCAGTCATCTTTTGCCTGCAGTCATTTGGCTTTTCAATTATTAATTTGTCCTAATTTTTAGAAATAATTGTACGTGCCAAAGGTAACCAAAGTCCACCTCAAAATATACACTTTGCATAAGGCATGCTGCCTGCACTCCCTCCCCATACCACCTGCACACATGCATATACACTCTACATTTATGTGGTTTCTCATCATCCATACTAGCCTTCATCCTGAGAAGCAGTACTGAGGTCATTTTTAACATGTATCTAGAAACCCACATCTGCTGATTAAGGCTTGCAAAGAAAAGCAAATAAATGAATTGCTTATATGTGCACTATTCTGTAGTAAGGTCCCTTCTCCTGCTAACCATGCCAGCAAATGCACCAGGTCAGCTACAGCATACACTACAAAGCATCCAGATAGACCATCATTGGCTTTGCTGACAAAGTGAAAAACCTTCAAAGCTGCTCTTATCATTCAGTTGTGTATTCTTAAATACACATAAAACCAGCCCACGTTTACGAGCACAACAGAAACTTATTAATTTCTATTATTCCTGGGGTAGTGGAGCATTAGCTTCCCATAGGAGATGAAAAACCTAGTCGTATACATAGTTTTAAAACTAACACTTTCTTTCTCAACCAAGTTTGCCTAGTCTGGGAAGGAGTTTTCTGCTGGGACATTTGCAGTCCCTAAGGTCTGGTCCTTCAAAACTCTGGCAATAGTCTGTGACTTCAGTAGAAATATTTGCAGGAGTGAGCATTACTCACACGATGAAAATTTTGATCTTCCTAGTGACCTTGACAACTGAACAGGGCCACATATCAAAGCGATCTTGTGTTCAAGCCAAAGCCAACTGCAAACCAAAGCATACCAAACTTGGCAAGAGACTTGTACCCAAGCCCAAACCCTGCCGTACAGTCATTACAGTTTTCACAATATTAACATTGGAAAATGCCCAATGCATGGACTCTTCCCCCAAAGAAAATATCTGATCCTATCTTCTGCTTAGTCCCAAGAGGTTTCGAGTTTCAAATCATTCATTTTAAAACACATTCCAAGGGCCATACTGAACCACTGAGCATTTCTGTAGATTGCTTTATTCTCAGTAGGACTTGAAAGAATTTCTTTTAAGCCTTGCAAGGATCCTTTCCTGTGCAAGAGACCATTTGCTGGACAAAGTACTAGACAGTACAGTCCTGCTGTCCTGGAACAAAAAGACAGTCATTCGCCCAAATGTTGCCTTCTTTGTCGTCAACAAGAGGGACGCCACTATCTAGGAAAACTTGTTATAGATGAGAAATATTAGGTCAAGAGTGTTAGGAGAAGTCTAAATCTTTATTAGTTCTTGCATCCATGAGGGCATATAGAAAAGTCACACAAGGAAGGGCCCGAACGAAACCTAGCTGGCAAAGTGCAATTTGCAATGGGTTCTGGTTTACAGCGTTCATTTGTCACTGTTCAGGATTTTGCCAACCCCATTATACAAATCTTGGATAAATGAAAAAAGTTCCCATGTTGCTAAGTTGTAATCGCTAAGAGTCGGCGATCACAGAGCTCGCTCTGCTTCGGCTGTCACTTTCCCGCGCTGCCTTCCTGTGCGTGTTTTGGAAGGGCTGGTTTGAGTAATCGCAATGTTTCTTGGTCGAGGTCACTGGAGAGCAGCATTATTCATTCTCTATGACCTTGTTCAAAGGCAAATTCATAGCACTTTAAAGAGGGAGGGGAGCCTCAGGGGCTCCATGAGTTTATTCTGGGAGTCCCACACACAGGACCTCATGGGGATTACTGGGAACAGTACAGGCTCAGCGACCTGGGGCGCAGACAGCTCTCTCTCTCTTTCCACCTGATGCACCTACAATTAAATTAATCTTTCCTCCTATGTTTTTTTTCCCCTTGCTTTGCTTTTAAAGTCCCTTCCTTTAAATGAAATGAGTGCTCAAAAGGTTTCAGGTGCATTATTGGGGAGTTGTTCTCTCACCTGGATAGGTAGCCATTATTCTCTACCATTTCATTTCTGTTCTTCCCTGACCCCAGGCTTTGAAGACTGACTTGTGATTTGGAAAACGTCCCAAGTTTTGAGATCACTAACCAGAAGGGCTATGATTTCCAGAAAGTGCTGAGCACCTGCCCTGAAAGCCAAGGCACTTCAAACTGTCTCAAATTGGGAGCTTCAATAATTTAGACACCCAAAGTCACTTGCCAACTTCTGAAGATGCTGACCATCATCCCCAGCCTTATGATAATGGCTAAGCCAGCCATGCCCCTTCATGCTCATTATTTTTGTGGAGACCACCTCCTAGGAATTAAATAGATATTTGTCTGCTTGTTTCATTGAAGCCCCTGATCAGCCCTTTCCTATCAAGGGATGCCCTAAGAGCCTGGAAGAGTAGCAACAGTTTAGAGAAATGATCATCTCTGTGCATTTGCCAAGATCATCCCTTCCTCTTGGACTCTCTGCAATGAGGCACACCTGGGATTAAACTCGGGGTGCAGGAAGGGAAGGCTGGAGGGTTATGCCAGTGTGGGAGAGGAGGGAGAGAGGGGATACAGATCACCCAACCAGTGGGACTGGATTCATGCCGGGGGTTTTGGTGCCAAGTGCAGCAGCTGCAAACGTCGGTGTGCATCCTGCCTTGCCCCCGCAACCTGTTTTATAAACACTGGTGCTGTTCACTGCCAGGGGAATTACACGCCCAAGAGACTGCCCTGTGCCCTCGACCTCATGGTTTTGCTGCACTTGCACGACGGTGCTGGTCCTACAAGCACTCACTACCAAGAGGTGTTTTGTTTTCCTTTAAATGCCAGGACATGTCCTTTAAATGTCTTTTAAAGTCCAGGACAGTCCTGGGATTAAGCTAGCAACAGAAATTGGATTGGATCAACTGAAGCAGGAACCTGGCCTCAGTTTTGGCTAGCACTAGAACAGACTCCTTCACAACTTAAATGTAGATGTGTGCAGTGTCCACACAATTCAAACCCTGGAGTTGTATGAAGGGTAAAGGCATGGAGGAGAAAAATTTGCAGCTGCTTCTGGCCAGGAGAGAGCTGTCTGAGCACTGAAGAAACTCATCTCAACAGACAACCCAAACGGGGAGTGCTTGCAACCTTAGTCTAGCAGCCCAAGGGTCCTGAAGACAGATCAAAGGGTTGTTCAGACACACACAGTTAGTTTGGGTGCAGGAAGGAGGGCGGTACTTTGGGGGGAAAAAATCCTATTGCTGATTTATTTCAGCCCGTCACAAATGAGCCTGTTCCTCACAATACAGCAGGCTCCTGCACAGGGGATATGCCCGTGGTTTAATGGGTGAGGCACTATGGAGCTCCAGTCTTGGGTTTAACTTTAACACGTGTTCCTTGTGATGTGGCCTGTGCCACGTCACTGCCTCCAGGTCTCCATCATTACTTCCCGGTCTGAGAGTGCTGGGAGGATCAACGACTGTGAAGTCTGGCATACACAAGCACCTCGGTAGTCTGAGCTTTCAGCTGTGGTTGCAGCCTGACAGGTTTGAGTTGACTTTGGGGTGCGGCAGTAGGAAGAATAGAGGAATGACAGCCAGCCACTGGGTCCCGTCTCTCCACCTTCCTGCCCAGAAAGCTTTGGCTCTTGCTGCAGTGCTTACCCATTCTGTCTATCCAGCCTTTGTGCTTTACAGTATTGCACCAAGCAATGCCCAGGATTCACCAGGGGACTGAGGGGAAAAAAGGAAAAGTCTCTGCTGGCTTCTGTAAAAGCACCTTAAACCACAGCTGCAGCAAAAGGGAGCGTTATCTTGCTGGTGCCATACCAGACGCACAGCACCCGGACGTCAGCTAACGCAAGCGCGGAGTATGCTTTGAAATCATCTTCACAGACAACAAGTCAGAGCAGCTCGGGAAGGGGACAGCAGTTGTCCTGTATCAAATTCAGCTGCTGTTAGCCAGGCGAGAGGGAAATCAAGCACGTTGCGAAGAGGAAGCCCAAGGCACAATGCTTCTCCCCCCATTCCCCTCTCTTGCAACAGCCCCACGTCAAAAACTGCCACCCTCATCCAAGTTCACCTTAGACGCAGCAAGTTACCTGAGACTGATTCTCTAGGAAGTGAATTTGGGCTGCAATAAGCTCATCCCAAACAGTGCCTAATCTGCTTAGCACCCCACTGATACAAGGACACCTCTGTATGTCTTGGCATCCATTCCCCAGGCACGCTCACTGAGTGCAGTCCAGATGGCCCAAAAGATTTATGAACAAAACTGTGGCTGGAGGAACCGCTCGTCACAGGACCACACATTTGGTTGCATTTCTTCTCCTGGCTGCTAAAAACTAGGAAGATATAATGGATCATATAGTGGAAGAGAGCAGGCTCCTTTATGGGGGGCTAGTCAATGGGTCAGGAATTTGTTGTATCTTGTCACAAGCATCCTTTCTGTTTGTGGCTACAAATTGGATGATGTAGTTGGGGCTGGTCCTGCTTGGAGCAGGGGGTCGGACTAGATGTGACCTCCTGAGCTCCCTTCAACCCTCATTTTCTGCGATTCTAGGTCACTGGACAGATCCAGGATATGCTGGACTCCAGTCTTGCAAGGTCCATACTGATGCACCATCAATCTGCAGAGGCTTGACTGTAGTTTCAAGCTGGTAGTTTTATTCTTCCTCTGAATGTCTGCCCTAATAGTCAGCCCTTATGCTGTCACAAGACACGGGCAGAGCACTAGAAAACCTACTGTAGGGACCAATGTTGAATTGCCATCAATGCACAGTTCTCGACATGAACCATTGCATTGGTGACATTAAATGAGAAGTCTGGCAGCTGCTCGCTTTCCTCTGCAGGACATTTGGGGTCTGCTGACTTGCTTTTTGGACTGAACACATTTCAAAGGCAGTAAGTGTTGCTTCGGGGAGAGAAGGGATGGTCAAGCAGTTCTCCCAATCATTATGTATAGAGAAGCCTTGAAGACAGCTGCTCTAGGGTAAGGAGATGATCTCTGACAAGGTAAAGGTGAAAGGAGTGGGAAAAACAATAACCAAAGGAAGGGGTTGACTCATCATCACATTTCGAGTGAAAGCTCTTTGAGCCAAAAACTATCCATTTTTTGAGTGAGTAAATGGTGCAACCACAACCCTGCATTAGGAATTAGAAACACTTACCATGATACAAATATGCAACGAGGAGAAGCACTCGCCAGCGAGACCCATTGAAGACGGGCCAGGCACCCAGTCCCTTACCTACCAGTCTCTATTCTCTGCCCAAATTAAAATCTCTTATACTTTAATATAATTCCCCCATTCATAGGCATGGTTACAGAAGAGGGGAGTTTTCCATTTAAAAAAATAGTGTTTTATACTATGTTTTTCATCCCATGTCTACACAAGAGGAAGGGAAAGTGAGTGCTCAATCCCAAAGGCTTTTGTCAGGTACTTTAAAAATATGTATATAATAAGTCTACATGGGACTGAACACGTTAGACCTGGGGCATGAACAGTGGGTAACATTTTTAAGAGGGACTTAAAGGCCACAATGTGTTTTGCAAAGTGACTTAGGACACTGCGAGGTCCTTTGGATTTTCCCTTTGTTGAAAATAGGAGAGGCTGAAAGCTTCGCTCTGGATCAAACACCATTCGGCTAAAACTCCTCTCATCCAGAACAGAGAAGCAGCGGCTGAAACAGGCACTTAAATAATGTACCCAGCAGCCCAGGACCTTGTGTTATCATCTCGGTGTCACATCCCAGACACCAAGGCTGACTGGGGGTCCTTCTCTCCGGAGGCCGTCAAACCAAGCAAGTGTTAACGGTGGTAAAAACTAAGCAGCAAGGAAGAGATTGAAGTCCTGCCTCCTTCCTCCGGAGTTTTTCCCCTGGGGTCTTTTCAGCAAGTGAGCAGATTCCCCCTCCGACACCTTCGCTAAGGACGTGTGGGATGAGATGAGAGCAACAATCCAAGCTGAACACCCCCGAGCACCGACGAGAAACTGGTTTCAAATCAAGCCAGGATGGGAAAGTGGGACCAGGTAACCCCTGGGAAAAGGAGGGGGTTTCTGGCCCCGAAGGACCGCTGCACTGAACAAGCATCTTGAAACAAGGAGGGGGAAGGTATCAGGCAGGCAGGCAGCAGGACTCCCCTTGAGACTAGTTCAAGCACATGTGTTATAGTCTTTCCACCCCTCCTTCTCTCTCTTTCCTGCAAACCTCCCACACACAAACCTCCCGATCAACCAGTCAAGCCAGGCCGTGTCTAAGCAGAAGGGAGAAGAGGGATTGCTCCCGCTCCCCCGGGTTTGAGCACATCCTACCTCAGCTGCTCCCCGGCAATCAGCACCTCTGCCCTGTGCTGTCTCTCCGTGGCTTTCTTCTTCAGGCCGTTGCTAATGCTCTCCATCCTGGCCCCGGCGCACGTGAGGAGTGCTCACACAGCGGCAGTGTTCAGCGTGTGTGCAAGCAGCGCTCTGCCAGGGCCACTCAGGGAGTGTTTGACAGCTCCTCTGGATGGCCCTTTCCCTCTCTGCGTTACAGAGCAACCGTCAGTCCACTGGGAAGGGCTTCCCGGCTGCACGAGAGTACCTGGACTAGGCTGAGGGCAGCTGTTTTAGGAGTCCCTGCCCATGGGCACTGTAGGTGGTGCCAGGTCTGGACGGTCTGACAGGTAAACGCAGGTAGTTCTGCTCCTGAAACCTGCTGCCTGGAGGAGGAGCCTGCTGCAATCTGATCCTTGCTTTTTGCTCTCCTTCCTTTCGGCCCCGAGCCTGGCTTTGGATGGAAAAAAAATCCCAGGTTCTACCTGGCTTGGTGGGAAGCCAGACGACTGCTCCTAAAGGACAAACAACACCCTAAGCCTGTTGCCAGCCTTTGCCTGTTGCTGCCTAGAGAAACTCCTCTCTTAGCTCTGGTAAGGCTGAGGTTTAAAGTTGGATTTGGCATCCAGAGGGCCGTCGCTGCTCCTCTCCCTTACCCCAAAGCATCTCACAAAGCTTTAGGGGGGTCTCGTGGTGCCCCAAAGCATCTCACAAAGCTTTAGGGGGTCTCGTGGTGCCCCAAAGCGTCTCACAAAGGTTTCGGGGTCTCATGCTGTGTAGTTCTGCCCGTAAGGTGGATCATTCATTTGGGATTGTCCTCTTATAAGGAATATGGACAGGGTTTAAATTAACAGGACATGGTCACTTCTATGTCAGTGCCCTCTTCTAGACATCTGAGGCACGGGGAGGTGCCTTGAGGGGCAAACCGAGCAATGACATAAGTAAATGGCATTCCCATTGATTAAGTGTGTAATCTTTATCCAGCTTATTATAGGAGGTGTGATCATCTAGGGCAGAACAACTTAGTTCAGTAGTGAGCTTAGAGTCAGCCACTACCCTTGAACTAGCCCTGAAGCCCACGGTCCGAGCTCACGAGGCATTTCTTCACACCAAGAGCAGTCACTCACACTTGGAACAAGGAGCCGAAATAATGCTTTGAGCAGTCAAACATGGAGTTACCTGGGCACTGTGTTTGTAGGTCTTGATAACAAGCAACCAAGGCCTGGACCCACAAAGGTAATTAGGTGTCCAATGGAGTTAGGTGCAAGTTAGGTGCAAGGATTTATGCAGAAGCCTAATTTTACACACATGAAAAACCCCACTGAAGTGGAGCACACATACAATCAAGCCCTGACTGGCAACAGGTGGGTCTGCGCCAGCACACATACCTGTACGGTCCTGCTACTTGTTGGCCATTGGGTCCCAGGGATGGTTTCCATGTCAGCTGTTGCTGGTCTTTTCCATCACTGAAGTCCCATTTTCCCTGGGGTCTGGAGTGGACACAGATGCAATACTGTTCTGTCTGCAAGGGGCAGGGGAACTAGCATCAGGAGCTGATTAATTAAGTTTATCACTGACACTGAACACACACACACACACACTGCTATATTCCCATCAACTCAATTGGGAGTGAAAAATATTGCTGGCAGAAATGAGGAAAAAAAAGAAGTACACAGAGCAAGGAAAACTTGCAAAGCAAATGCAGGGAAGAGTGAGGAAGGGGCCAAGGGAAGAAGCCATGCCAGCTAGGGAGATTTGCTTCAATTAAAAGCCTAATAAAGCAGCAGCAATAAACCAGATGCCATGTTTAATTAGGTCAGCTTAAGCAGCGGTTCACCGTACAAAAACGAGCTAAATGGTACCCCCAAACCAGAGGACCAAGCCTGTGGCTTTGATGGATGGAGATGCATTTCAATTAGGTCATTAAACTCAGCTCCAGCCCTCACACAGGCTGAAGTTTGCAGGTCAGGCCCTTCATGTGGTTTGCATGGCTTTGAATGGGAACACCAGAAACAATTCCCATTGTGCAGCGGGAATGCAGGTCTGAATGCTGCAGTGAGGGTCTTTCTAGATGAATGGGACAAGACACAGGTAGGAAAAATATGAGATTGGAAACCACCACTGAGTTACTCATCGCTGCATGGCTAGCTTTGGTTTCATCCTACACGAGCTGAACTAGCAACAACTCCACAGTGGAGCCCGGCACAAATTGCTTTGCACGTTGGTCTCAGTTTTGCCATCCCTAAAATGGAACTAACGCCCCATTTGGAAGGCTGAGAAAGAATAGGATTGCTTTTATACAAACACCTTCCAGGGATGGAAAAGATCTAGTGAAGCTGAATGTGAAAGTGAACATCCTGCTTCTATGAAAGGTTAATATATGCTTAAAAGACCGGGTAGAGGGCGATGCCCCCACTACAGAGGAAGGCAACCCCCTCCCCAAGTCCATACCAATCTGAACAACAAGGTATAAACTGGCCATAAATATATTTAGGTGGAAACTAGGTTTCTAAGCATCAGAAAAGTGAGGCTCTGGGACGGTTCATAAGACCATGTGAGGCAATGAGTTTTAAGGTGAGAGATGATAGGTTTAGGGAAGGGATTCAATGACCTGGTTGCCTGGGGTAGCAGAGGTCTGGATTCAGGGACCCGCAAGGCTCCTCCCAACTAGACATTTCAAACGTGCTATAAAGCAAGCTCCGGTGAGCATTGCAGCCAGCCCGTGGGATGCTCGAAGAGGCAGATCTGAACTCACAAGGGGAGCTGTGTGTGCTGTCTGCAGCAAATCAGCCAGGGGAACCACAAGCCCTTGGCAGCCCCGAAGGACCTTGTGTGTTAAATCACTACCCATGGCTTGTGGTCAGGGAATGGCATCTGAGTAGAGCAGGAGCCTCCCCTGGACACCAGCTCCTGTCACTGCCCAGCTTATCCGCTGCGCCCCATTCCTCCACGGTCTTTCCCAACAAGAGGCATTAGTGTCATCCTCCCCAACTGTCACCAAATCTCGGCAGACAAGCTTGCAGCTGCTGGGCAGCTTGCTTGTAATGCTGCGGGTGTTAGACAGGACTCGGGGAGGAAGCCCCCAGGGGCTCTCTGGAAAGCAGGGCCCCACAGCCCCTGGCCGACTCAGATTTGTGCAGAGGGGCTGGATCTCAAATGGGAGCGCAAGACAAGAGGGTAGTGGGATGCAAGCATGAGCTGAATCCAGGCTGCTGTGAGGAATCATGCCATGCACCCTCATTTGCCTCCAGACCCTACCCAGAGTCACCCAACGGTGAGCACAGAGGAGCAAAACAGGAGATTTCCAGCCATGCAGAAGAACAGCTATACACAGCAACCTCCCAGTCATGAAACGGCCACGTCTGGCCAGTCCCTTCTCCAACCACGGGGAAGCGATGGTGCCCTTGATGCTAATGCAGCAGCGAACCCAGTCAGCTGAACAACTCTCCTGTGGTCAGGCTGCTCCGGTCCAAGGCAAATAAGCTGCAGCATTCAACTGTCTCAAAAAGGCCCTTTATATGCCTCTAAGCACCACAGGGTGCATCCTGGCCTCGTCTCTGCCCTGCTGATTGCACCACATCGTAAACCTGGGGAAACACAGACACCCCTTGTCTGCAGGAAGATGCTGCTGACGGAGGGCTGGAGCCCAGCAGAAGGCCCTCACTGGTGCCTTTCATGGCATCTGCTTACAATTTCCATTGCTATTGCAATGGCTGAGACTTTCCAGTGCCATGCAGGTATTTAGGGCTCTCATTGAAGGATTGTAAGGGTGGCTCAGTAGCGGGAGAGGCAACCCAGAGACGTGGTGGCATCTCCATCCTTGGAGGTCTTCAGAAGCAGGTTAGACAGACGCTTGGATGATCCTGCCATGAGCAAGGGGCTAGACTAGATGCGACCCCTTGAGATCCCTTTCAGCCCAACTTTCCTGCGATCCTGTATAACCAAGTAAGAGAACCGGCTCACTCAGCAATTAGGAATGTCCCTTCCCATCTCCTTGTAATCAGTTTTACACACTGAGGTTTTGTTTGCAAGGCAGCTTTGATTCAGACTGGAACCTGCCCCCCGACTGCGGTGCTAATGGGGGAAGGGGCTATTCTTCACTCCAGTTTATACCATTGAGCTAGTGCTTTTTTTTTTTTTTTTTTTTAATTTTTACTTCATTCAAAGCTTCTTCCAAAAAATACAAATTCCAAAGGAAACCATTTCAGAACAAGCTCCCACATCTAAGTGAGAATGATTCGCTGGCCTAGTAGCAGCTGAAAGTGCTGCTAACCTCTTCCATCATGGCATGTGAAGAAGAAAGGTTTCTTGGCTCTGTACATATCCTCATCTAAATTAGTCTTGCTTAAGCTACTAAAACAAGCAGGAGTTGCCAACAAGTGATTCAAGGTCTCAGCTCATAAAGCACAGTTTCTACAAGGACTCCAAGGGGTGCTGCTGGGCACCAGCTCAATGCAAAGGGAGGCCACACAGTGTTGTCTACACAAGGGAGCCAGCTCTACCCCAGGACTACTATCCACCTGTCTCCCCACCAACGGGGCCAGACCTGGTGAAAGTTGCTGCCTTTCCAATAAGGACTCAGGCCAAATTCCCCATGGTTACGTTTGCTAAGGGTCAATACTCCAAGTTAACTGCTCAGTTCCTCGTGCAGTTGCACCCAATCCCTCTAATCAGGCAAGCTCCCTGCTGCCTGCCCACTGAGATGCACACATTTTTATACATATCCCTTAGGAAGCCATTGCTTTTCCCTCTCCCTATAAAAGCAGGGATAGTAACGACCCATCGCAGAGCCAAACATGCCCAGAAGTCAGTGTCACGTTCTTTTTTCCCCCCAAGAATGCATTTACCGTGGCAGCATCTCTTGAAAGCCTGAGGTAGCATTGCAGGGCATCACCAAGCCGGTGATCAACTCCACCCTACAGACATCTGCTATCCTACAGCTATCCAGAGATCGTTGAAAAAGATGCCCGTTTCTGCCTTCCCAACCTCCTTCAACCACACATGGAGATGTGGCGAGACTTAATTAGCTGCCAGTTAGTTGCATAGAGGAGAGGGCATTGAACAGATAGGGCAAGCATTATTTTGCAATGCTAGGATATCATGCACGTGCATACCCCAGCATGCCTCATTTAGGTTTCCTCTCCAGAGGAAGTCCTCTGAAGTTTTCCTGCGCTGGAGGACTAGCAACTAAGGTAGCTCATTAGAGGCCCACCAGCAAACTGGATCTCTTGTTTCTAAGCTCACCACTCTCCAATGTGACCATGGGATAAAATTCCTTCCTGACCCCAAACAGGACAGTCAATCTGGCCCTAAGTGGAAGGATAAAGCTGTCTATGCTGCAACCTCTGGCTTTAAGTCCCAGCAGGAGCATTGGCACAGCCTCGTCAAACCCAACCTTGGCTCCAGCCAGCGCTCAACGCCTCCGAGGAAGGCAGAGCTGGAAGAGACCATGACAGATCCTCTACTGCAGTCCACTAGCACCACCTTTGACAGAGGTTAACAGCCATCAGTGAATGAAATTGTGCCTAATCCAGGTAAATGTCAGGACAAGGGAGCTGTCGACTTGTTTCAAAGCAGGCTAAGGGGGCTGGCTGCGCAATGACGTTAAGTTATTGCCACGCTCCCAGCTGGCTCTAGCAATTGCCGTTCATTATTTCTTCACCATATTCTATTCAGATTAGCAATAAGTGTTCTTCTTCCCAGCCAACGCCGGCACAATCGGATCCCCGAGGCCACCCCTCACCAGCCAATAGCAAACTGTTTTTGCCGGAGGCCATACTCCTTAGATACAGTGCTTTGTCTCATATAGACTATGTTTAACCTGTTCTGGAGCCAGGCCAGCAGGAAGGGCTGATAGAAAGCAGGGCATTGTTCACAAACCACCCCCTCTCCTAACCTTTTTCCAAAGAGGTTTATACTTGGCTGTGTTGCTCCTGATCCAGTCTTGCAGCTGTTGGCAGTTTAACCCACTGGTTTCTGCACTGCAACTCCGGACTAGAAAAAAAAAAGAGAGGCCCATGTCTGCAGGGACAGCAGAGTGCTTAGCCCTAAAACTCACCCATGAAACCCACTGACCCCAGGGCACCGTCTCATGACAGGATTAAATTGAAGATGGGTTTGCATTGGGACAGTAGGACAAAGTTGTCCCAGTACCTGGATTAATCTGGCTCAGGCTCCAGAAGACTAGACAGGGTGTTTCTCAAGGCCCAGAGAGGTGGGGAAGATTGATTGCATGGTGCTGACAGACACCAACCTGCTCTTCAACAGTTCCTTATTAACCAGTGAGAAATCTAAGGCTAGACTCTCCTGACATTGACTGGCTCCCATTTTGTCCCGAGAATAACACTGTGGGTGCATCTATATGTGCACATGTACTGTGCAGTAATGGAGAATGACTGTGCAGTAGAGGCATGCACCCGTACTGCACAGTAAATATGGCACTTCACACCAACTTGGGCGCAAATTTGATCCCTGCATATCAAATGTACACCCAATTAGTTACTGCACAGTAATGCATGTGTAGACACCTTACTGCACAGTAACACTAAAGTTAGTCCCAAGTCGGTCCACACACAGCATTACCGCGCTTTAATGCCTGCATGTATAGATGCCAACCTAAACCCGCTTACTGCGCAGTAAATTGAATGCGCAGTAAACGCATGTGTAGACACGCCCTGTATGTATTGGGCCCTGCTGAAGGCAGTGGTGAGGCACAGGCAAAGTTAGCTCAACAGATAGTGCTTTCTTTTGTGGAAACAGTACTGCCAGCCATATGCAGTCAAATAACACAGGTCAGACTGGATACATGGTCTACAGCTTTGCACTGGTTCCAAGATAAAGTTATACTCCCGTCTCTGCAGTGTACTAGCTAGTGTCATCCTGGGAGAGCCCTTTGCCTATAGAAAATAGGCTATTTCCAGCTCCCCACCACCCAAGGCCTACTGAAAGCAGTTACTTCTAGAGAGCTGGTTAATTTATATGCTCACTCTGGACACCAGCATGACTTACCCCAGTGTAAGAGTGTTGTGTTCACACCCATCAAAATGGAAACTTCTCCTTAAACCAAGTGGGGCACTCCATGAGAAAGTGGGTGCATCTGTTTCAGAGGTCCTGCATATCCAGATTAAGGAAGATCCTCGTGATAAAAAGCATTTCCAGAAGTGCAGCACCAGACAGGGAGCATGGTGATTGTAAGGATGACTTGGCTGCACTAAGACAAAATTGGGGTCTGTGCAGGAGGTCACGGTATCATAGGAGAGGGCCGAGTGGGCTGTCACCATAGCACACTCCACTCCTGCTCCCCCAGCAAGAGGCAATGATGGTGACAACAAAATGCACCTCTCCCAGAACCCCAAACACACCGACCCATCCCCATCTGCATTCGTCACCTCCATGCATCCCCTGGAATATGGCATGTCCCTGCAGACCCTGCAGCAGAGATGGCCGCTATTATTTTTACAGCAAAAGGGTTAATTGCAAGGAAAGAGGGCTGGGGAGGCAGAGATGTCCCATTGACTGACTGTGAATTGTGCTGCCCATGCAGAAAAATGTGATTATGGCAAGGTAGGGGGAAGTCGCAACCTCTTCCTTGAGCCAATTTATTCTTATTATGATGCAGCCAGAGTCCCCAGCCAAGATCAGGGCTCCAGTGCATTGGGCAGAGCACATGCACACACAGAGCCTCCGCTCTCAACTGTTGACAGACTAGAGGCAGGACAAAGAAAGCCCCAGAGGCACTAAGTGACTTGCCCAAGACCACCTGTATCTGGCAAGTAGCAGAGACTCCCAGCTGACTCGCAGCCCAGCGCTCGCCCGTTGTGTCACTGGGCCTCTCCGAGCTCCTTGATGCACGTCTGATGAGGGCCGCCTCTGCTTGTGAAGCCAAGTCTTGTGCAGGGATAGGAGAGCTCCAGACACTTTGGAAACAGAAATAATCACTTGGCATTGGTACTCCTGGCCTATTTTATGATGTCACAAGAACACACTAATGATAGTGTAATTAGTCTTGCACTTTGCTTGCCAGAAATGGGGCCTACCACTGTGTACGAGAGGCTGAGGAGCATGGGAGGAAACGAAGATAACTCTCACGTGCCAAACACGCACATTATTTAAGCCTGGAAACCAGCTTCACCTAGTAAGATGCAAGAGCTCAGCTGGAGAGAAGGGAGATTCACCCCCTGCAAGATCCACAGCAATAAGGGAGAAATAAATAGCACAGCAGCCGATCTGAACGCCAAGTCAAGCACCGGGGCAGGGAGAGAGGCACAAGCAAGCTGCTAGCACTAGTGGACCGCTTCGGCCTTTAAACACAGTTTCCAGGTAGGAAAAGAGTCCCCTCTGGTGGAAATCAAGGGAAATGGGATGGGTTTGTCATCCACAACCAGTTCAACGTGCCCATGGTTGCAAACACAGCAGGGGAGCTCCCAAAGGGCTCGCTCGGTGCCTTTGCAGGTTTGTAGAGCAGACAGTGGGGCCCTGCGCCTGCATGTCACCGATTCAATCAACAGGGTAACGACTGAACGAAAAGGATACAGCAGCCATCAGCCACGTGAGACCTGTGGGGTGATCAAGCAAACCTAATGGGCCACAGGCCCAGGAAGACCTGCTACTCTTGGGCTGGCCTGTATTTTCATGCTTGGGGGGCAAGAGGCAACAGTCGGACCCTTCACGTAACCAGCATGTACAACTAGGGCAGCAAAGGGAACAGCACTGGCGTTAGCATATCAGCAACTTGAATGTGGACCTGAGGACCCTAGAGAGCTCACACTCTGATTGCACAAGTCAAAAGCTCATTGTTTTGGGTCTTTTCTCCTATTCCTTCCTGTAGTAGATAACTGAAGCCATCATGCTACACTCGCAACTGTGGTTTGCTCCACAGACATACCAGCGGAGGCAATACTCCTCTGAAAAGATGCACCACCCCATCCAATTCTGGAAACGTAGGGGGGGAAAAATCCCTTTGTTGATCATTACAAATTGAGAAGTGCACTTCAAATTGAGAGATCATTGCAAATCGAGAGGTGTGCAAGTCCTGAAAGGAGTCAGCTCACGAACAATAAAAAGGAGGAGTCTGAAACGGTGATGTGGTTACAGGGCAGAGACCAATTTTCACAAAGGCACTTTGCAGATGAAGATTTAGCTGCCCGAGTGCACATCGTGTCGTCAGAGCAGCATTGGGAGAATGTTAATTTTATAATTATTGAGGCTGAAGCTGTGACTGCAGTGTAGCATTGACATAAGGTAGACATCCCACAACACACAAAGGTCTAAAGAGACTTGGCCAAGTTTTCAAAGTTCAGCCTGCAAAGTCTGACAAGCAAACTGCATAAAGGGAGAAGTTAAAATTCAAATGGAGACAAGAGGCTGCTGTGCTTAGGAAGTACCCACTTACCAGGCAAAAGGCAGCTTTCAGCAAGGCTGAGCTTTTCATTTCCAAGATCCTTCACACTGTCGAAAGTCGCTTCGATATGGTTTTGTTCACTGAGGAAGTTCCAGTTTGCATCACAGTGCGCTGTCAATGGCATCATAGATTGTAGCAAGACTTGTTATTTATGTGGACTTACTCTGGGCTTTTTTCCATCCTCCCCAAGAGATATCCTTCGTTGCTACCAGGGTGGAGGGGGAAGGAAGGGGGCACGGAGTGGGAGGTCAATGTTGATCTGATCAATGTTGTGTCCTTACAAAAATTCTACCTCCAAACTACTCGCCTTACACTAGGGTATGGCAGTGGTGTGGTGAAGAATTGCTAATGTCAATAGAAATTTTAATCTGAAAAAGATACCAGTTAAAACAGCAACTGTTCACTCTAAAACCTTCACAGACAACATCATGCGTTAATGGAGTGGCAGTGCCACAAGGCTTCATTGAGGATGACGACCTAAGTCTGATTTTGATCTTAACCAATATTGTGGCGGCAATTTATTAACCATCTAATTCCCTGGGCTATGGGCATAAGCTGACCTTTGGGTATTCATTGCTGGTGCAAATACATTTGTAAAGCCCCCACTTTAAAGAGCATCCCCAAGCAATCCAGTGGAGGATTGCAAATACTAGGCCTTAGCCCTTTAAATCAGAATATCTGGCTGAAAAAACAGGCTGAGGATATTTCCCCTTGTTGGCAGGAGCTGGGTTTCTCCATTGTAAGACACAACAGCCAGGACAAAGCTGGAGTCTCTTGGGGGGGCAGGAGGGAGGATGCTGCTGAGCAAAGCTCGAATGAACAAAGGCAGGTTTGCAGACTGCGAGAGGCTGATAGCATTGGGCTGCCTGCACAAGCAGGGAATAGGGAGCTCAGGGTGGTGGGGCACATCTGGGGACTTGCCAGCCCCCAACATCAGCATAGCCTGGGAGACTCCATCTATGCCCCTACACTGGTCTCCACAGGGAGTCATCTTACAATAGGCTTTCTAATCCTTATTCACTCCTCCCTCTTTTAAAAGGCAGCTCATGTCTCTGGCTGCTTTGGCTCCCGCTGGCGAATTTCAAGCCTGGAGGAACGGCCTGAATTAAGGACCCACGCACGAGATAAGGTTCACCTTGCTTAGACTCCATGAGCAAACTGCGTCGAGGGAGGAAATATTTCCTTCCTCGCAGCGCTGATGCCATGACGAGGCCCCGCTGGACCCAGGTGAGCACCAGCAGCTGCACAGGTCCACGCAGGCTACCTGCTTTAAAGCTTTGAAAGCCTGACTGGCAACCACAGCTGGGCCCTTGCAGGAGGAAAACTTTGGTTTGTGATGGCAGTAAAAATCCAATCCGAGTCCATTTATTCTCCTCTCGGTATTTTTGGCCCATTCTATCCTCCCTTTGGCTGCATCCCAGCATTTCTACTTCGGCGATCAGCCTGCTCCACCCAATCCAAGTGCCTACTCTGCACCCAGCAGGACTGTGCTCAGTGGCCACCGTTTGGGAATAGCAATGGAAGCCGAATGCCTCCTGGCTCAACCACATGCGTCTCTCAGGAGGCCTGGCTCATTTCAGAGGAGCATCGTGGAAACAGTCAAGAAACCCAAAGGTACAGTCAAGAGCACATGGCATTATTTCAGAGAAACACCAAGCTCTCCCCAGCAACCTGCCATTTCATACTCCCAGGTGCCTGCTGCTGTTGAAACCCTCCGGATGCACTACACATTCAGCTCCTTTCAGATCCATAAAGTCAACGGCCTGGGAATCCCAGGGAGCTGGAGGGGGTGCTACTTTAAGACCATGTCTGCCAGGAGCGGATAAAGAACCGCTGAATGCTCTTTTCCCTCAGTAGTAGAATGGATAACACGCACAGCTGGTCTTTGAATGAGTTGCACGGAGCTACTCCGTGATCAGAGGCCCACTTCTTTGTCGTGGGAACAACCTAAGTCAAGTAGTTTTCAGTCAAGATTGGTCAACCCTAAACTATTCCTAAAACAAAGAGATTTCAGAAATTAGGATTTGTTTCATAGATTTCATACACATTAGGCCTCGAAGGGACCTCGCGAGAGCATTGGATGGAGCCCAGCAAGGTGAGCATCCAAGCATTTCTTGAACATACCTAGAGTAGGTGTTTGCACCACTTCTAGTCCAGTCTCTTGTTGACTCAGACAGTAAAGAAGTTTTTCCTTATGTCCGGTCTAAAACGGTCTTCCAGCAGTTTGTGACTCTTAGACCTTGCCTTCCCTTGGGGTGTACTGGTGAACAGACCTTCTCCCAGTTCCTAATGCACACCCCTTATGTGCTGCCACCAAGTCACCCCTGAGCCTGTGCTTCTCCAGGCTGAAGAGTCCCGTGCCTCTCAGCCTCTCCTCGTCAGGCCTGTTCCTCTGACTCTAATCATGCGGGTGGCTCTCCTCTGGACCCATGTTAATAGGTCTGGACCTATTATGTTAATAGGACTCGCTAAAAAATAGTTTAGCTCCTCCCCTTACCTCCTCCTTGCCAAGTCCAGCGGTTCCCCCTCCCCTTCATTTTTTAAGTTCCCTGAACACAAGTGCTCTATGCACAGCCACTAACCTGCAGTCAAGAACATATGCGATTCCAGCACCAGACATGAATGACACCACTTGGCTGCCTTCTTATCTCATGTCACTCAGGTTGCCCATTGCCACAAATGAGTTTTCAAGTGAACATCGTAAAAAAATTACACTGTCCGCATTGAGTGAGCTCCTGCTTCCGGACTCCTTCCACGGTGTCAACTAAACTGAGTCACACCCTTCTTCACTTTTATGAGAGACCAGCAAATTGGGGATATCCTGCAAGGGTTTGCTTAAGCCACGTTTCACTGTAATGAAGTCCAGTTCGAGGCATGTAAAGATGGCAGCTTCTTTTAAAATGAATGCAGCCCCTTCAGGAGATGGACACCACACTCATCGGTTTCTCTTTGCTTTATTGTAATGCTCTTTTAATAGATGACACTGCAGTTCAAGTCCAGTACCACTCTACAGTACAAGGAATACTGTTCACCGAAATTGCTACTCCTGTGAACTTCACATAAAACACATTAGGAAAATTAAAGATACAGTACCCCTCATTTACCAAATTCCTGCGGGCATGAAAACAATACCTGCTGGCATGAAAACAATAAGCAGCTCTACAAATTGTCTCTCTAAAACATTTCAGTCCAAAACTGAAGCATGAGAGTCTGCCTCTCGACTTTTACTCAAACCCTCTTTGGGAAAAGAAAAAAAAAAAAAAAGGATGTTAAAATTGGATGATGAAAAGGCAAAAGGGATTTTGTAATATTTCTACTGACTGTTAAATTAAATCTCAAAAAGGGACACTGCATCTTTAAGTAATTTCCTGCATTAGACAACAAAGGAGGTTTCACCTACACTTGTTAAATTATTGCACAGATTTTTACACCGATAAATACATCATCAACCTGTGGAATGTTACAATGTTCAGAGTGGGGGAAAAAAAAGCAGCAGCAATATCCTTGAGATTTCTAGAATGAGGGAAGAGTTGGCCAAGCATTTGTTGAAATTCAAAATAACTCAGGACTGATTTAAGAGAAAGTGAAACCTTTTAAAAACCTAACCCCTTGGGAAGAGGAAGTCCAGTTTCCGGTTTGGGAGCACTCAAGAACTAACATGGTTTGCTCTTTTGCAAATGGCACTTAGCTTGAATGTCCTAAATCTTCTCTCCGATCACGAGGCTACTTCTAGAAATTCAGCCTGCCAACGAGGAAGCCATCAGTTTCAATGAAATGGAGACCAAAACACAGGGAAGGTTAAGCTGGATAATGGAATATCAAATAGAAGACGCCTCGGATTTCTACCTCCTTTGTCCCCTCCTTCTCCAACGTCTTTACAGTGGCTTTTCTGCCCCCCACAGCGTTAGTGAAAGAAAACGTGCAGAAGTGAGAGCCCTAGAAACCAAAGTCTTGTTTAACCGCAGTACAGGCACAGCATGCACCAATGCTACAGGTTTGCCCACCCTGCCAGTGCATCCCAAATACAACACTGGGGCACATCTACGAATTAGAAAGCTCAGTTCCCGGGGCCTGGGACAAGAACGGTTAAGGGTGACAACTGAGAGGGCTCATTACTACTTCCACGCCTACCCTGACCTTCCCCGTTTCATTTAATCTGAAAACTGATCGGTGCTCTCGGTGACGGTGCTCTCTTAGCCAACTCCTATCCAAGAAACTAGAACCCAAGAAAACAAAAAGATCAAAGAAGAAAATGTCCTGTTTCCCCCATCCCTCACCTTCATGCTAGACTCTGGGTACAGATGGGCCAAAATAAAATCATTTTTATTTGAGCAGTTCTAGAAAAATGGAACTGCATTTACACCTGGACCTAGCAGAAGGCCTAGTTTTACTTTTGCATCTGTATCTCCCAGTACAGTGCTGCTTTTTACCATCCTCAAGCCATGGTCCTAGGATACTTTTATGCCTCCACAACAGCATAAGGTTTCTTTACGGGTGGAAAAAAAAAATGTTCCTTCATTTTCTCCTGTATTGAAAGAAAATCATTTTCACAAAGGTCTACCCAATCAGGCATGTGTGGTTTCTAATTTAAAGTGCAGCCTGAAAAACTAGGCTGTGCCAAACAGTTTCAAGTGTGATATAAACAGCCCCTTATTTAGGCAAAGGATGAAATGTTGGCATACGAGGATGCATGCACACGTAGTAAGTTATTACGGATCAGACAGAAAGAAATAAAAGCCCATCTTATTAGGGGGGAAGAAAGGAGGGGGAAAAACCCCTTATTTGGGGAGGTTGACAAAAGAGACATAACAATCCAAATGCACGCAGGAAGCTAAATCCGCTTCTCATCACTTTAGACGGACAGTTTCAGCAGTCAGGCAACCCAGCCGAACAGATGCATTTTGCTTGTCACTACTACTGCAATACTTCACAAAGATTAAATGGTAGTCAAGGACTGGGCAATATCACTTCACATGAATTACATGGCATGGCCTTCAAAGAACATGCATTACAGGTTCAAACTGGGCAGCAGACAAGTGACAAGAGCAGCAGGTCATAGGAGAGTATGCATTAAAAATACAAAAATCATTACGTGTTTAACATGCAATCAAGCCAAGACAACAGTATCTCTGGAACAGGACAAATTCGAATAAAAGGTCACCTTTTTATAAAGAGTCAGGCTGTGAGTGTTCTTGACAATGGTTCTGCAAGAGGCATCAGAGGCCTTAGATTTCCCCCATTAAAAGGGTCACTGTGCCAATGATAATTCCTCAGTGGGACTCATGGGGCCTTACACTAACCTGGCACAAGCACCCTCTGGATAATGACCTCCACTGCATAAAGTTCTCCGAGAGGACACATGTCTCTCCGCATATCACTGAAAGGGCACTACAGATGAGAAAAAGCCAATGAGGTAAAGGTCAGGACAGCAGTTTAAAAGTGGGGGCCAGAAAACAGCTGAAAGACTATACAGCTAAGAAAGCCTGCAAGACCTACACTTCCCCAGAGTGTAAATACAGATGTTGCTACCTAGACTACAAACCAAGAAGCCGGTAATACTTTTTGGATAAATCATGATTCGGGAGAGGGGGTGGAGGGCAGAGAGGCCTGCTAAAGACACCTCATTTATAGCCCACATCCACTTGAACCTTCTCCATGGTGAAAACTGAAACGCAGCAATATTTGAGAGCAAAAAACTCATCATACCACGAGTGTCATCTGTCGTACAGTCAATATAAAGATTTTCTTGGACACACTCTCAAGGGTTCACAGCTGTTCAGATCAAGAATTTCATGCTATCATTTGAAGGAGACTTTACCAATTGGCACCATGATGTGAAGTTTTCAAGTGGCTTCAAAATATTTAGTCACATTTGTATAACATTACAGAACAGTAACAATAAAAAAAAGTAGAGCTATCGGCAATATGGAAATACTCAACATAAGGCACCTTTGCTGTTAAGGGAAATAAGATCTGAATTCTTCTATTTCCGTTTTCCCTATGCAAAAGTTTATGTTTATAGATCATGCAAAGCAGCTAAAAAAGGTTGAAGTTGACACCTGACTCCAGCATTCATATCCTGCTCCATTTTGTAATGCTGACATAAGTAGGGCTCCAACAGCCTCTTCGAAATAGTATCTCTTAAAAGAAACAAACAGAAATAGAAAGAAAAAAAAAAAGAAAGGTACTAGGAAATGGTAGGGCGAAGTGACAGAACAATTATACATTTCTCTAAGTTTAACAAACTGAACTAAAATTTCACTGCTAAATCCACTGTGAAAGTGGGTTGTCTCCAGCTTTATAGTTACATTGGGTTCTCACATCTTCCACCCATTTTGTGCTACCGTTCCAGGATTTCTCCAGTTTCCCTGCCGCACTGGCATGCAGAAGGGAAAAGTGTTTCATTTTAACAAATATGGCAGATGAAATTAAGAGGCCGCAAGGAAGAAAGCTAGAGAGGCATAGGAAGGCCCCTTCATCATAGTTAAATTAAAAGTAACATACACCACAACCGTGCATTACACACCTGCATGCATTCTGCACTGTGTAAATGCCTAAGCGCAAGGGCAAGAGTGTAAGTAGTGCCACTTTGAATACCCCTATATAGTCGGGCTGACAAAATGGTGGGTTACATACAAATAATTATCTAGCCCTAGATTTTCTCATCTATGAATTCTCTCTAAAGAAAAAAAAAGTTTTAAAAAGTTCTCAAACCGTGTAAAGTTTAAAAACACGTTCAATAAAAAGTGTTTTAATGGCCATTTTGAATTGCCAGATTGAATGCAGTCCCAGCAATCCAGAAAGGCATTTCAACTGGTACTTATGCAACTGCAGTTCACTTTTACGAATGTTGGACATCTGTTGAAGATAGCTCCTCTCCTTTCCCTGTCTTCTCCACCCCAGGCGCTCTCTGAAGTTACGAAGGCTGGACGGGCAACCCTATGAAACTACACATGCAAATACCGTGCCAAGAAAACGTGCTTGCACTGATTTGTTCCTCTGATTTTAATTTAAGGAGGTTGGCATACCCAGCTCCAACAGCACTAGTGTGAAGAGAACAGATCTACTGACATCCTTGACAATGGGAGAGCCATATCTTCATATGGACATGAGAATCAGACACTATTTTTTTTCTAAACTGGAATAGAAGAAAGGAGAATGACGGGGAAGCACAAGGGAACAGGTCAATAGAGAAAACCATGTTAATCCAGTTGTGTGTGTGTGGTTTGTTTGTTTTTTCCTCCCATCAACCAGCACAGCCTCCCTCCTTAGCCATGTGGCATAAGGCTAGAGTCCTACCAGTTCTGGTTATCCCACCCATCCTCGGTGCCTGAGGACACCTTTTTTGTTTTCTTCGGGGTTTTTTTGGACTTGCTCTCCCCTCCTGCAGTTTCCCAGTTGGTCTCCCAGTTCTCCCAGCTGTCGCTGTTACTGTTCTTGTTGTTGGAAACTGTCCCCGAACCCCAGACATCCCAGCTATCAGAGCTCTTCTTCTCGGTGGAATTGTCCACATATGTCCAGCTGTCACTGCTTGGAGATTTATGAGCCTTGGGTGGATCTGAGTTGCCAAACGTTTCCCAGAAGCTTTGATCTACACTATTGTTCTGGTAGCCCTCTCCTCCACTGTTCTGGTAACTGTCTCCCTCAGCTGGTCTTTTAAGGGAGAAAGGGAAAAAAAAAAAAGAGGAAAAAAAATAATTAGATGTGGTTCCATTCATTTCAAATGACTCGATTGATTTCTCTGCTTAAGAGTAAACTATCCAACTCCAGCTCCAACTATGCGACCGTGTTAAATGAGGTGCTTCTGCTGAAAAAAGTGGTCCTCTTGGATTTACTTTTAGGGCTCTGACATTAGCCAGTATGAACAGAGAAAACAATGATGCTGCTGCCCTTTGCTCAAACCAATTTGAAGATGAAAATGAGAAGCAAGGCAGAAGAGCTGGAAGTATTTTTTCTGAAGCCAGATTTAAGCTGTAATTCATAGTCTTAGAAATATTAAATACAATGCATTCGGTACAAATTAAAAAATAATTAGTCATAAGCTATTGCAGTCTTTGTAGAACACCCTGAGGTGATGACCAGTTACATTATGAAAGAAAAACTGCATCACAAAAGGTGTGGACAGATTGGAAAGAGACCACCAGACAGCACCAAAATAATAATAATAATAATGGCCTGGGAAACATATTTTATAAGGAAAGGCTGAAAGTATTACGTCTGAGGAAGAGAAGACTGAGAGGGGATTTGATAACAGTCTTCAAATATGGGAAGGGAGATTATAAAGAGGAAGAAAGTTCTCTCTATGGCTGTAGAAGACAGGACATGGGGCAATGGCCTCAAACTGCAGCAGAAGAAATTTAAGTTAGGGATTATGAAAAATGTTCTGATGTTTTTTAAAAAGAGATTGAGAAGGCAAAGGCCATACCTTTCAGGATGATCATCTGGTTTGCCAGAAAAGAAAGTGGTGACATCTCGCCATCCTTTACTACCAGCTCCCTGAACCTAGAAAGGAAGCAGTGGTTACTTCACACTCGGTGCTTTGCCTCGTTCGTTTGGACTAAGATGATACTTTTGTTATAAGAAAGATTTCTACCAAAATCCACAATGCATAGCAAAATGTTCTCCTCATTCATATGAAGATAATGCATTGAAAGTGGCCTCACACGATTCCAGTCACCTGCTTTGGAGTCCAACAATAGTTTTAACTGACAATTTAAACTGGATTTATTTTTAGTGATAAGTACATCTTGTGCTTAAACCATTGCACTTTTGGGGCATGCTGCAAAGACAATGCCCATACTGCTTAGCCCTGGGCCCCAACTTCGTAGGACCAAGTTTGTGCCTAAACTGTCTGGCCAGAAAAAGAAAATGCTCGGTGTTGGTCACTAGCAGGGCAGCTAGCTACATATTACGGAGTCTATTTAAGGCAAAGACCAAAGTTGACAGCTTCACAGAAACTTGGTCAAATGTGTTAAAAATGGTATAATAAAAGGAAAAGAAACTGCCCATGGCAGTTTATTCAAAGGGATTTAACTCAAAATCCTTAAGTTACGGAGCCCCGTTCAAAACTATTCAATCCAACCGGAGCTTAATATTGTTCAAGAATGCGTCTGGTCCATATGAAGTAACGTCTAAATCAAGAGTAGCAACAGGACCTGGTTTTGGTCACTGCTACGTCATTTGGACTGCGGTGCAGCTCTTCAAACCAGGGTGCAGATTCCAACTGCAGCTATACTGATACAAATCCAGAGGAACTCCTAATGCAGCAAAACCATGTAACCAAGCACATGTGATGCATGGTCCAACTTTGTTCACAGATTACTAATGTAAATATTAACTGGTTTCTTAAAGTCTTTTCAATTTACAGCTCCCATGGACAGGCCAAAAGTTGATTTTCCTGAACGCTGCTGTTGAAGGAATCATCTTCTGTAGTGCTGAGATCAGGATCGCAAGCCATGAAATGGCACCGAGAATGGGAACTGTTCTCAGATTCGCAGACTTGTAGAGTCCCGAGGGGACAAAATTGTTAGGACTTAAGCAAAACAGATAAGGGATAAATTCACTTTTTAGCTAAAAAAAAAAACTTAGGCCTTCCCTTCCTTTCAAGCAGGAAAAGCTCCTGGCAGTAAGCTGTCATGGGGAATGGCTTCCAAAGCTGACTTCAGCTGCTCATGGCAGAAGAAACATCACCATCAAAAGGGCTGTTCAAATTATTGAATTAGTTATAACATTCTGCAAGCCTCTTGTAACCAGCAGCTGTAGGAGCACTTACCCCATAACCAAGCAATGGCAGCAAAATAGGAAGAGATGGGGGGGAAAAAAGGACACACATTAATAACATGAATTGCAGATACTTCATGTAAGCTGTCTCCATATTCTTTTGGCCCACACTTACTGCCAGAATTTTGTTTGCCAATTTGATTATGAGCCTGCGTCACACACTCAGTGTAATCATTATGAGGATGCTGCTGAGCTCTAATTAATGTCCCTGCAGCTATGCACACTCACCTCTGCATCAAGTGGTCACGCTAAAAATGGCATGAGCATCTTTTATCCAGATTATCTGTATTCATACAAGCAAAACAAACAGAGGGAAGGAGTAAAATATCTGCTCCTTCTCTCTATGACCTGGGCTTGAGGAAGAATATGGAGACTGGCTTAATATTTGGCCTCCTAACGGTCAGGCAGGCCTCCTCGTACCTTGGTAGCCAACTGAGATACCCCTACGGTGACATCCTCAAAAAGTTTTCCCTCTTTCACCTAGATGAATCAAAGTGCCTGCAGTTAGTTGTGACACAAAATGACATCAACAGCTGAAAAACAGGACAATTTGTGATAACAGCTGAGAGACACAAGGTAAAAACCAAGCCACAGTATATTTGACTTGCTAGACAATGTTAAGAAAACAAAATATGAAGGCTACTCTTGAGTATGGGCAGTCCTCTGAAGCTAGAGGAACTTTCCACTGACTTTTGAAAAGGCACTGTTATAGGGACCCTGATCATTAAAACCCAAAATCCCAATCAAACTTACTACATCACTATTTACAAAGAACGTATTTTATTAAAATAAAATAAAACAAAACGTGACTCTGGGGAGACTGAAATGAAGGCAATTATAAGACGAGGTTGAAAACAGGCATCTTTTCACTATGGCACAAGCCTCCTGGAAACTTTGATGGGACTGTGAAGCCTTTTGCCTTTTGATCATTTGAAGCACACTGGAACGCATGCTTTTCACCAGCTGAGACCCTGCAACCAGCTAAAAACAACAACAAAAAAAGCCTACAAGTAACTTGCCAGTTGCATAGGAGCCAGACCACTGCTAGCTGCTGTCAATTAGGTACTCGCAAAGCTAGGAATCAGAGAAAAGAATTCTACCCAGGGGCAGTTTTGCACCATTTACCCTACTTGGTGTGCAACACTGCTCAGCAGAGTAACCCTCCAAAATATGGAGGATATTAAGTTACAGGAAGATGCAGAGCTACGGGCAAAGCACCCTAAGATAAAACAGTACATTGGCTGCATTGTACAACTAGGATAACTGTATCTGTAAAGAATCTACCATGTCTGGAAAAACAAAAATTGTGATTAGAAGATAAATTTCTCTCAACAGAGATTCTATTCTCAAAAAAAAAGATCCAGGATAACAGAGTGGAAAACTCATTAAAATGCTCTTCTGTGATTCAAGACACTTCACTAAAGGCAAGTCAACTGGATGAACGTGAGATAAAAGAGTAATGACTCTCTTGGGTGACACTACACTTTTCATTAGATATGAACCCACATCCTACAGAGCTAATGATATACTCCCCCCC